AAAAAAAAAGCCTGTACTCATTGGGTGCTGCCCAGCAGGGGGGGCAATCCCTGCTGCCCCCCATCGCCCCATGCTGTGTGGGGGGCTCTGCCATGAGCTCCCCAATCCCTGCTCACTTCCCCAGCCCCCCCATAGCTGCCCCACCTACTCCAGCTCTAGCCCTTTAAGAAAAAAAATGAACCCCCCAACTCACCAGCTCCTGCAGCGGCCTCAGGGCTTCAGGGGGCTCATGGAAGACCCCTGCATTGGGCATGGGGTAGTAAGGGGCAGAAGGCATCAACCGCTGCTGGGGCGAACTGGTGAGTTTGGGTTTTTTTTGTTTTTTTCTTAAAGGGCCGGAGCTGGCAGGGGGTGCGGGTGCCATGGGGAGGGCTGGGGGGTCAGGGGGCTCATGCAGAGCCCCCCATGCAGCATGGGGCAGTGGGGGGAAGTGGGGACTGCTCCCCCCCCCCCCGGCTGGCAGCCCCAAAAGGGTTGGGGCTTTTTTTTTTTTCCAAAGCGCCAGGAGCTGGGGCCGGCAGGGCAGCCATTGTCGGGGCCGGGAGAGCGGGCATGGGATGAGCCTGTGTGATTCAGAGATACAGTTGAATAGGCAGCATCCAAATCTCCGAATCAGATTCGGCAGAATTGATTCGGGACAGTGATTAGAATCACCTAATCGAATCACTGTTCCGCAAATCAGCCGAATTCAAATCCAAAGTGAATACTAGCTGCTTTGCACAGGCCTACCCACTATTTATAAGTTGACCAGTATCCGTATAGCATATTGTCTAGTTTACTCTTTCTGCAATATATTTCCCTACTAGCATGATGCTCCTTATTACTGTTTCAGTCCAAATTCAGCAAATCTGCTTAATGACTTTGAGATGAGTGACTAGACACAGTCCTATCTTAATTTATACTCGTTCAACTTGAATGATTTGGCTGACCTTTTAATTTTTGCCAAGTATCATGTACTCCATTGAAAACTGCAGAAAAGATATAAGGATTCATCTGACTCTTTTTTTGGGGGGGGGCAGGGGAGGGGGTCTGAATACTCTTATACTGTACACCCTTTTAAATACTTTCTCTTGCTATGCTGAAACATATATGTGGTACATACAAAATGGGCAGTGTTTGGGAATTTTACACATGTAACAGACAAAGAAAAGCAGCTATTCTTAAGCACAACAAAGTCTTTACATCTATCTCTCAGTTGTAGTAAAACAAACCTGACTGTGACAGATTTAAAAAAGCAACTTGTACTAGATGGATCAAGAACATATGGAAAGTAGGACCGTGTGAAACTTCGGTCCCTGATTTGATTTGGCAGAGACTCAGCCCGATTCGGTGGCCAAATCTTCAAATCTGAATCAAATCAGAGTACCCTTTAATCTCTCCAAATCAAATCGGAACCCTCCAAATCGATTTGGACAGATTTGGAAAGATTTGGCAGTTCAGGCATATACACAAATTTAAATGTTTTTTCTACGTAGTACGTCCGGTACTTCCGATCCACTTCCAGGTTTGCCACTAAGCACATGGAGGGCCCCCATGCACTCCTGTGGGATGCTCCATCCACCCCACCATTGCAGTGTTAAAAAGCCACTCTGGTACCTCAAGGTATGTAGAAAAAACTTTCAATTCTCTGCCTTTGTCCAAATCGCTGATTCTTCAAATCAGCATCGAATCTTCAGATCCTGATTCAGCTGAATCGAATCAGGGACAGTGAATTGAATCACTGCCCCTGATTCGGGACAAATCTGAATCTGAATCAAATAGGGCTCACTTTGCACACCCCTGTAATGGGAAGATGCCTTTAGTAAACTTCATTGTATCCAAGATAGGTTATTGTTGCATAGATTCAGTAGACATGCTTAGACTTACTGTTCCGTAGCCAACAATGGTGTTCATAGGTACTAAATTGGGATAAACATTTTTTATGTACCAATCAAAGCTTTTACAGTTCAGCTTTTTTCTTAGCTCCTTTCTGGAAGTAACATCTCCATAGTCTATTCCATGATTCTGAAAGAATACCACATTGAATGTTAGGCATTTTCTTTAAAAAGCCTGTAAAAAAGGAAAAGAAAACAGACTTATGCTTTTTCTTTATATTTCATTACATATAAACAACACCTAAAAATTACTTTAAAAATCCCTTCTTTTCCTTTAAAAATCTAGATCATATCTTGTCTGGAAAGCCCTGTGGATGACTGGAGGAAGCATATTTTATGACATTCCAAAAATGCAGCTCAGTGGGAACCAGTTTTTCCTGGACACATTACAATGAAATCTAGACCTTTTGGAGTAAAAAAAGAGTCCCTTACAAACTTTGGTATATTTAAAGGGATCACTGATTATGGCACTCAGGATATGAGATGCCAGGGTTCCAATCCATGATGAAAAGAATTACTTTTTTTTTAACAAACAAGTCCAACAGAACTGACTGAACAAAGCCATGACAGAATAGCCAATAGCTATTGGCCAGACAAGGTCCTGGCCTGAAACAGTGAGAAAGTGCATCCCAGGTGAATTCTAGGGCTGTGCAAAGCTTCGGATCACAATTCAGATTTGGAGATGATTTGGAGGCTGAATCTATGAATCCAAATTGAATCTCTAGAAGTTTTAGGCTTTCTGAATCGATTCAGAGCTTCTGAATCGATTTGGAAAAGATTCAGCAATTCAGAGATTCAACCATAGGGTATAATGGGGAATCAAAGAAATATCTATAACTTTGTTGTTTTTCAGCTGATTTGGATGAAACTTGCAAGGGTGGTAGCCTCTGCTGAGGGTATGAAGCCTGCCAAGTGTCAAGGTGGTAGGTGCACAGGTTTCTGGGAAACTGCACCTCAAAGGCCTGACAGCAAATGGGCCTTTGAGAGTGAAAACTGCAGGCCTGCTAGGCCCTGCTGTGGCCACGAAGCCTGCCAGCTGTCAAGGAGAGAGGTGCAGGGGGAGTCTGGCTTTTGGGGCCCTGCACCTCTGGCTGCAGGCAGGCAAAACTCATGACATGGCTGCTTGTGGGACTGTGTGTGTGTTCAGGTGCACCCTTCCTGGTGCTGGGGCCTCTGCACAACATGGCAGTGCACCCCTGTGAGGGGGTGAGGGACAGGCTGGGGTGGGGTGAGGGGGATGTAGCAGCACAGATAAAAGTGCAGAGGTACCTGGGGAGTCAGAGGTCCAGCAGGTCGCAGTGTGCCAGAACTCCACTGTCTATATTGAGTCCATGAGTTTCTGTACCTATTACGTAGGAGGCTGATGAAGTGCAGTTCATAGGCCCATCTCTGAAAAGTGGTTTGTACATTCAAACAAACACCTAACCTCATCACCAGAACTGAAGCCATCTTCCTACAGCTCAAAACACAAAACCTGCCAACTACCTTCAGTACCCCCACAAACTGCACACCAGAATCTATCAAAGACAACAGTACCCAACTACCTGTGGGGGTACATTCCTCCCCCAAAAAACCCACGCTGCCTCCAGTCTCTCAGACCTGATCCTGAGAGGGAACAAATTACAAACCACTTTTCACAGCTGGGCCTATGAACTTCACTTCACCCTTGTAGGGTCTGGAAGGTGGACCCCAAAGAGAGCATGATGTCATAGGCTCAAGAACCTGTCTGAACATCCCCTGACTGGTCAATGCTGGGGCCAGGACTGGAGGGGTCAAAGGGCCAGGGGCCCACCGCAAGGAACGCCCAAGAGCTGAGGGCCTGGGGTTCCGACTGGCCTGGAGGTAGACTAGGGCTAGTAGCCAAAGATCCCAGGGGGACCACACCCATAAGGGGGAGCAGCTCAGGGAGCTATGCAGCTGCAAATGAAGGCAGAATAGGTTGCCTGAATGGAGGGATCTAAGTGGCATTCATCTAGTAGGATTCTGGGGCTCAGTGCAGGGCCGGTGATATGGATAACATCTGGATGCCATCTATGAGGCTTGGGCTGTGGGGTAGGGGAGGAACGGAGCCACAGATAGTGCCCCCTGGCATCGGGGCAAGAAATGGGCAGCCTCCCGCTTTATTAACATCAATTAAATAATTAACAACAAGGCGTGGCGGGTGAGAAGGCAGGCGGTTAGCCCAGAAACCAGTGGGCGGGCCACTGGGAAATCAGCCCAGAGAAGGCCCCCCTGTTACAGTGTTGTTGTTTTTTACAACTATATTTATTTAATTAAACTACTGAGGGGAAAAAATAAAACTTCCTTTCTTGAAGATTCAAAATCTCACTTAAATGAAAGGCTGAGAAAATTCCCAATGCACTGTTGATCGATGAAGTCTTCCACCAAAGAAAGCTGGGGGTGAAGGTAGGAAAGAGAAATTTGACACCTCTGAAATTATTTAAAGAGAGAAAAAAAAATGCAACAAACTAGGTTCCTTGCATAAAAAGGAGAAAAGTATAAGTGCATAAATCCATTCTCCTCTCTTTAAAGTAGACCTAATTGGAAAGAGCAGTATTTCCTTAAATGTTTGAAGAGAACTAAGGATTTCTAATGAAGAATGGCATTTAACAGCATGTGTAATGGCATTTAATGTAAGCAAAATGTATTTTTTAAAAATCCATTCACATTAGTCGTAGCATTAATTGATATAAGGAACAATATGTAAAGAGACTTTGGGCATTTATACACATGCTCTGAGAGTTGGGGGTGGAGAGGGTGCTTTAATTAAGTGGCTCCAAGAGCTGCTCTAATTAAAGCACCCAAAGTGTCTCATGTATCAGCACCCCACACTTTAAAATGGCAGCAGGGTCACTTTAGTCAAAATTTGTTCAAGGACCTTTAGTTAAAGCACCCTGCTGCAATTTTTAAGCATGGGGACACAAAACACTGGAATCTGCTGAAGTGCAGTAATTACCACGCTCCAGCAGACTCAATTAATTAATTAATTGAGTGTGCTCCAACACACTACAAATACAGCATGTTGAAGCAGCCTCTTTGCTCACGTATAGGTGGCCTTTATTTCTGGGCATGAAAACAATATGAAAAAGCTGCAGTTGAGGCAGCTTTTCTCTGAGCTTCTTGAATGCTGAGTTCCTGATTTCCCATTATTCCATTTCTCAAGTGTTAGAGCATGGTGTAAAACTCTACCTTTCTCTCTGGGCCTGGTGAAAATAGGGATTGGATAACAAGGCTGCAAAATGCTGCAAAATAGTGTGTAGAGGTCAATGACTTGCCGATTTGTACATTTATTTCTTAGTACATATTTAAAAAGCATTCCAGGATGTCCAGATCATAGGAGAGGTGTTCTGTTGTCACAGCTTGTAAGAAAATCCAACTGATCAAATATTTTCCAGTACAGAAATAATACATTGCTAGGTTGTAAACTCTTTGGGGTAGTGACAAGATTTTTGTGTTTATTCTGCATCTAATAAAAAAGGTTTCTGGTCTAGGGCTGGGGCTCCTAGCCAGTATACATTATGCAAACCTAAAGAAGTGTAAGAACCTCGATAGGAAGGTTCCATGCAAAGTAGACCATGTTCTTATAGTCGTCCATCCAGACTTCTGCCACTCTCAGTGCATTACGTCTCATGGCAATACTCAGGTCCAGCAAGTAGGGTTTGTGAGCCCTTTCCAAGTGAGCAATTCTTGAACAGGGCAAGACTTCAACCTTCCCCCCACACTGCCAAGCCTGCATGGATGAAAGAAGTTCACAACAGTTGGTAATGGGGTTCAGTTTTTAAAAAAATTCAAATCCTTTTATTCTGAAAAATGACTAAAAATCACACACACACCCATGCTTTTCTAGGTGAACTGGCCGATCATTATTATCATTCTGTCATGTTCCCTGATTCATGGTGAAGGGAAGTTGTCAGTACTGTGCTTTTCACATTTCTTATACTCTGTAGGGCCAGCATGGGTACAGAAGAGTAAGGAGGGGTAGAATTCTTTTCTTGCACCATTCATGGAACAGCTTACTCACATTCAGCTGATGTGCCAGGCAGGCATATATTGTATATATCCTCTGGAAGCAATGAGATGAAACAAGTGTCCCTGAGAACCCTGGCCCTACAGAATTTAAATGACTAGTGATGACAGAAGAGAAGGCAACCCAGCTGGGCTCCATATCCATAGCACAAGTTTATAAGGCTGTCAGCTAGCCCAAAAAAAGAAAGTTAATTTGTAGCAATTTGAGATAGTTATTATAGAGTATAAATGATGAATAACAATTGCTTTGTAAGACTATAGTTTGCATGTATAGATGAATGAGTGTGAAGTGAATGGAAAAATATTAAAAGAATGACGTGCAGGCAAACAGGTTACCAAAAGGTGGAAGAATTCCAAGGAGAGGCTGAAGACACAGCAAGGAGATAAGAGATATGCCAGATGCTCTGACGGACAACATTCAGAATGCTGCTGAGTAAACTCATCTGTTGGCCAAAGTGGAAAATGACTGGGGTTCAAACAAAGAAGGCACAAAGTAAAGAAGGGCGGAACTCAACACCAATTTGATTCCATCTATAAAGGGGAGAGACTTAACAGCAAGAGGTTGGGTAACACTCTGCATACTTCACTGGAATACAGACAAGCATCTATATGAGGTCCCACTCCTCATCTCGTACTTCTAGGCTGGCTGCCTAGTGTAGTACTGATCAATAGACTTTGGTAACTATAACATCTGCAGAGTAATTTGGAATGAGTGTGTGTGAGTGTGAATGTTTGAGTGCTCTTTTGAATATTCTAATCAATAAATGCAGCATCCTGCCTTGTTTGTTTGTCAAGAGCATTTTTGGCACAAGAAAGCATTAAGAGGCAATAAATAAGGAACTTATGATGTCAGGGGTTGTGACCATATTTTTACATAGCAGGGTATTTTAATGGGCCTGATATTCCATTGCCTGGCAGACTGAGTAGGCATTTGTACAAAAGCAGAATGGAAATACAATTTTATACCTATTTTGTCATGGAATAAATGACTAGACATGATGCAGACAACAGAGACTTAGGCTTTAACACAGTTTAATGTAATAAAGCTGGAAGAGATTATAGTCTTGGAAATCCTGCCTTTTCCCTGGGTGGATGCTATGCACCACTGCAGCACAGTCAGTGTGGAGCTCCCAGGGGAAGGGCAGCAGGGTGGGGAGCCCCAAGCATGCAGAGGGAAGCCCACATCTGGCCTCCCATAGGCTCCTGTCAGCTCTGCCCCCGCCATGCTGTGGGGGGTGGGGCATCATTTTAGACCACGCCCTAGCAAAAATAAAATTTGGCGTCTATGATTCTGAAACTAATTGCTTGAGCAAGGTATAGCCTTCAACTCTAAATTGAGAAACAGTCAAGTTTTCCCTCTATAGATAGGAGTGGTTGCAGTGACTCATCCTGTAATTAGTATATCAAAATTGGAAAATACAGTGTATATCAAAATGTACACTATATATAGTTATATAGTTAACATATCAAAACTGATGGTGAGAAAAGGAACAGTTTTCTTTGGAAACCAGTGGCTAAAAAGTGCTTTCAACTCTTATTAGTAGAAAACCCAGGTTCTGCAACAAGTAATGTAAGAAATAAATCCAACACTTCCCTCTGAATCAATACTGAGCCAACACTGCAGTGGAGCAGTTCACTGCTGTAACTGCAGGATTTAGAGCCTGTACGAACTTTGACCTGAGGAGTTACCCCTGGAGTCCTAGCTAAATTCCTATCCAAGTAATATGAGAAGTAATGTCTGTTTAGAAATATCTTTTATTGGACCAATTATAGAGCTAGGGTTTTCTTCAAGTCTGGGGAAGTCTTTGAGAAAGCAGATAGACCGGGTGGGGGGCAGGCAAAATACACCCCACAGGCCAAATAAGGCCCACCAGGTCATTCTATCCAGCCCATGGGTCCCCCCAAAATTTTAGAAAATAAATTTTTATCTGCCCCTGGCTGTCTGTCAAAGATGACAGGCAGCCAGCAACAGCCAGACACAGGGGGAGCCAGTGGCAGGATCCAGCGGCTGAGCAAAAAGGCCCACCTGGCTCCACCCCACCCTCAGCCCCTCACAGCCCCCCTCCCATCCCAGCCCCCAAATGGAAGCTTCTGCAGCTTCTGGCCTTGCAACCCTGGAGCTGTTCCATTCCTCCCTCTACAAATGTGGAAAGTAAGATAAGATAAGATCGGGGCGGGGGGTGGGGTGAGGGGAGGAAACTGCCATGATCAGTCCAGCAGCTGCATGGTGCTGGCCAGGGCAGGCTGGAGTCAGAGCGGGAAGCAGCGGGTGAGGGATAGCAGGGGGCTGTGGGAAGCAGCAGGAAGGGAGACAGGGAAGCAGGGGTGGTGACGGGGTGCAGGAAGTGGCAGAACAGTGGGAGAAACAAGGGGAGCAGCAGTGATGCTGCAGGAAGTGGCAGTAGTGTGGGGAGAAGCAGGGGGAGCAGCCAGAGGGCTGTGGTTAGCAGTGGCAGCACAGGGAGTGATGGGGAGAGCAGTGGAGGCTGTAGAAAGTGGCAGCAGTAGGGAGAGTGGTGGTGGTGGCAGCTGAGCAGCAACAGCAGCAGTGGTGGGCAGGCATGGGGGAGGGAAAGTAGGGAAATGGCAGGGGAGTGGTGGTGGTTGGCGGAAGTATGGAGCCCATGCTGGTGCCCTGGGGGCATCCGGGACCTAAGGTGGGGCAGCAGAAGGATAGAACCTGGGCCCGGGGTCTGCATTGCGTGTGGCTCACATGCAGTCCACATCTCTCTCTTTCTCTCCCACCCCACCCACCATAAAAGCCCCCACCCCAACCACATTCCCCACACCCACCCACCATACCCACACCCCACCACACACACACACACACACACACACACACAAACCACACCTCTGCACAAAGACACCCTTACCATGCACACACAATATACAATAGGACTGTATTTTGAGCTATTATGCAGTCACCTCTAGATACACTTTGCAAACACATAAAATTAGTACAAAAAATATTTTAAAATAAAATTAAAATAAATTATAATAGATTTTTTTTTGCATATTACTTCAGGTTTTTTCTGGTTTCAAGATAGAGTTTACCCAGAGGGTGCTGCAATGTAAAATTATTTCCCCCCTTTTTCTGGTTTTTACATCAACTTCCTTTCTTTTCTTTTCTTTTTTTCTTCCCCTTATAGTCATTGCTTTTAACTACTTAACTGAAATCCTATTGATGGACAAGTTTGTCTCCAAACTTCTTACCAAACTTGTGCACCATCTTTTCTCCATCTTTCTCTTGCCTCTATCAGTTTCAATTGTATTTTCCGTTGTGGCCATTAAACCCATATGGCTGTGATGGGTCAGGTAAGCTGTGGCACTATTTAGGAATCAATGAAACTCAAACCTAATCTGTGGGTTCTGAACAGAGGGAGAGTAGACTTGTCTGTGAAGTTATGGAAAACACATTTAAGACTGAAACCTGGAAGACTCATAGACTTTAGATCCAGAAGGGAGTGTTACCTTTTCTAGTCTGGCTTCTTGTATATCACAGGAATTCAGTTATCACTGTTCTGAGCCCCCAAACTTGTGTGTATCTAAAACATGTCTCCCAGAAAAGCAACAAGTCATTCCCCTCAGACATCAAGACATGGAGAATATACAACTTTCCTTAGTTTACAACACCATCACTAATAGAAAAAATATGCAAATTATTTCCCATTTGAATGTGCCTGGCTTCCCCAACCTCTTCTGCTAGGATAGCAGACTTTCCACCTCCCAGCAAGCAACTTACTGAGGAAAAACTACCCATACCACAGGTTTAATCAAAGGGCCAGATTTTTCAAGTCATCTCAAACATCAGGTACTGGACTCTACAAAGTCTGGCCAGATGCATCATTGCAATGAGAACTTTTGAAAATATGCCTAATTTGTAACCCAAATGTAACTTGAATGATGTTAGGGTTGGGGTTTGGGTTAGGGGGGAATATAGTTCCAAGTGCTGCATGCTCAGCTACTTTGAAAATCATATGCCACATTTCTATAGCTGGTTTTATAAGCAGAAAAGTAAATTAAACTTACCCGTAAGCCCAGTTCTACATTCTCCCCTCCATATATATGCATTCCACCATCCAGTACCCCAATCTCACCCAGAAATTCTCTATGCGCAGCAAGTATGCCCATGATAGAAGGACTTCTACAAAAGAAAATGAGTACAACTGGAGAGAAGCTAAAATGACAAAATAAGCAGGAAGCAAAGGGCCCTGAAAAATCATTTAGGAATTAACCATGCTTTTCTGAATTCCCAAAACGTTCCAGTAGGAGACTGAATGATGGTTCATTAAAAGAGTCTTCATTTAGTTTGCACTAGTATATCAAAACCAACAGTCAATTGCTTTTTTTAGATAGATTTGGTTCTCTTTCACTTTCCCATTTCCACCCCCTTATAATTTATATTAAAACATCCTTAATGCACAGAGGGTCAAATTTGGCCTTTAGCTGTATACTTACATGACCCTAACCACCATGGTAGGGTGAGATGGGTTAAGATAACAGCATACATATAAATCCTTCCTCCTTCCTCCTAAGCATGGAAGGTAAAATGACTTCATACTAGAGGTGCACCAATACATCAGTCCCATATCAGATCAGCACCAATATAAAGAAAATTGACTATATTGGCAATCAGCTTTTTTTGGCTGATAATGTGGTCGATAAATGCCCCATGCATGCGCAGCCACAGCACAGCACACAGGCAGCCAGGAGCATAGCCCAGCAGCGTGGAGAGCAGCTGGGTCTGGCTGATAAGTCTGTTATGAGGGAAGGGGTGTGGGGGGGTGCAGATTAAGGCCCCCATGGTGAGGGAGGGAGTGAGGCAGGGACAAGAGCAGGTGCTGCACAGCCAGGGCAAAGTGGGGGACAGAGCTGTGAGTGGCTCATGGGGGGGTGGTCTCTGCCACTATACATACCCCAGGAGGGCATGGCGGGCGGGTGCCCCCAGATTAGCATGCAGGGTGAGGGTGGGCTGCTGCTGTGAGCTGGGGCTGGGGCGGTGCTGAGCTCTTCCCAGCAGGGGGCTGGGCTGTGCTCAGGATGGGTGGTGGCAGCACTGGGAGGGGAGTTATGCGGGGTGGGGCTGCAGCCACCGCAAAATTTGCCTTAACTCTCCTCCCAAAACCACTGCTGCCCACCCCAAGTGTAACCCCAGCCCAGCCCCTGCCAGGAAGAGCTTGGCACCTTCCTGGCCTCAGCCCACAGCAGCAGCCTGCCCTCACCCTGCACACAGATTCGGGGCCACATGCCCCACATGCCCTCCCAGGGTGCATGCAGCGGCAGGAATTGCCACCCGGATAAGCCACTCACAGCTTCATCCTGCACTCCACCATAGCTGTGCAGCCCAAGCCCCACTCCCTCCCCCACCACAGGGGCTTCAATCTTTTCCCCCCACATATCGCTTCCCTCCCCCCTTGGCCCTTCTCCCACAACAGACTTACCAGCCGGACACTGCTCTCCATGCTGCTTGGCTGTATATTGGAATCAAATAAGCATCAGCCTATATGGCTCATTACAAATCAGCCATCAGTACTGGCCCAAAAATTCTGTATCGGTGTACTCCGACTTTATGCTATGTACAAAAGGCTTCTTATTTTCAAAATACATAGCTCTCCCTAAGGGATTTGTACAGCCTAATGTGCAAAGTACTTTGGAGAAGATACCTGTAACTTTTTATGAATATGGCATGTTCTTTTAATTGCTGCATGGTGCTAAAACGTTAAGTTCCAGAAATAACCTGCAAAACAGTTATGCATAATATTTTTTCTATAATCAGCTAGGTAGAATGCTTAAACTGGTTTGACTAGATTTAAGAGAGACATAGCAACTGAGAGAAACTAGCATGAAGCCCAGGTCCAAAGGTTGGGGAATCTGAATAAGCAAGGCTAACCAAGTTTTATATAAAACAGTTAAATATATTAACTGTTAAGACACTTTTTTCTTATACTGTGTTCCTACCACTAATATAAAAAAAGCCTGTTTTACACCATTGTATTGATCAGGTCAGAGGTCCTGAAAGAAAGCATGATAGGTCTTGAATGCAGTTAGGCCTAAAGAATCACCACAGTGGGTACCCATGGTAGCCACATGACTCAATCTGTATGTGGAGAGTGATGAGATTTCGCTACAAGGAGGTGAAATCACACCTGGAGTGGTTTCGCTTAGAGATGGCTCAGAGATGCAGCTAACCCTGAATTGTGACCGGGATAAATGTGGGGGATGCAGACAAAGAAATTAAGTGACCTGCCGAAGTCTGCCCAGAGAGAAAAGTTTAGAACAGGATTAAAATATGGAACACCCTGCTTCTCATTGTTTTACCCAGAATGTGGGTCATATTAGATCTCCAGTGTTGCCAAGGGACCCTCAGATCCAAACCTAGAGTTTCAGTATACAGTCTTGCAGAGGTTTTTACCCACACACCTGTAAAACCCCTTTCCTTTCTAGTTTTAATTGAGACTAATGTAGCAAAACCCTGTTTTTCTTTTTTTCCCCTTTAAAATGCATTCCCTCCCCTTCCCCAACCATTTCTGACTTTTTCTCTCCCTCTCTATTCCCTATAGATAAGTGATCTAAGACATAGGATAAGCTTCAGCATTTTATTTTGGTAGCAAGTTGCAGTTGTTTTGTTTTTTCTCCTTCTTTATATTGTATAATTATTATGTTTATATGGATTTTTACTGTTCTGTATTACTGTTTTACTAGTACTATATGATTTAGACCTACATATGTAAGTTAGCATAAGTTATGTCAAGTTTCCATTTTGTTTGTCAAGTCTCTATCCTGTTCCCAGGCCCAGTTGTGTAACCCATGACTCACACCTACCCCTCCTATGTAACTTGGTTCCAGAATGAATGGGGATGAATGAGGGTGCTTGAGAGACAGTGGCAGTAGGTCTAAAAATAAATCCCTCTGAATGACCAAACTATCAACACCAATACCTGGACCAACAACCCAGCCCTTGGAACCACCTTCAGCATTCAAGAAACTAAAGATGAGGCAACCCACCATTGTGCCAAGGCTGCACATGCTCAGTAAGAACACCTGGAGCCCTCTGGAACAGGACTGACATTGCCTGGACAGGTCCTCCCCATAGGAGATCATAGGTAGTCTGCCCCATAAAAAGGGGTAGTGAAGACTGACTCCTTGGGACACCCTCTCCATCTGGACCAGCACCATGCTACACCACCTATCCACCCAGAGGCCCTGCCAGCATCCCCCCTCTGGACAACACCTGCTGGACAAGGACCCCTTTCCAGCCTGGATAGGTAGCTATCACCCCCCACCCCCTCTTCAACCAAGGACTTGGACGATGCTTCTCTTCCCTACCTGGACTCCAATCCTTCCACTGAGTCTCTTTCTCCTGCTGCCATTGTGTGTGTGTGTGTGTGTGTGTGTGTGTGTGTGTGTGTGTGTGAGTGAGTGAGTGAGTGAGAGAACCAATAACTTCATGCGGTTGTGTAGTGTGTTGTCTATTTAATAAACTTGTTATTTTGAAACCCCGAGTTGGGTTTTTGTCTGTTTCCTGACTGCTTCCTCCTTGCCACCACTTATCTGCCCCCCTTATCTCTAAGCTGTCAGTCTGTTTCCAGCCCCAAACTCCCAGGTTTCGGCCTCTCTCTCTCTTTCCTGGCTGTCTCCTCCTTGCCACCACTTTTCTGCCCTCCCCCCACCCCAATAGCTCAGCTGTCCGCCTCAGTTTCCAGCCCCAATCTACCTTAAGTAACCCCAAGCCTCAGTTCCTCAGCCAGCTTCTCTCTAGTCCACTGGTTCTAATCCCAGTTCTGGCAACTTTCACTCCCTACACTTTAACACTCTCTTTCTCTCTCACCTAAACCTTCCCCCAAGTATCCCAGGTACCCCAAGCACACACATACATACTGTACCATCCAAGTTATGAACTTACCTTGGTGTAGGTGGGTTGTATGTGTATGAACTGGTGTGTGTGTATATATTTATCATGCACAGAATGACATACGAATTAGTGATCTGTGTATGTGTACTGAGTGTACGGGTATGGACAATTGATTTTTGTCTAACGTTTGGGATGTATAGTGTATGTGCTTGAATTGGTGATAGGTATGCATGTGCCTAGGTTAGTTTGGATGTGTATGTGCCTGAGTTGGTAGTGTGTGTGTATGCACCTAATTGATTTGTGTGTTGGTATATGTGCAATTGTGTCACACCCTCCTATCTAACAGCGCAATACTGAGATCCTGAGAGATGGCCTGACCCCACAGAGCAACACTGAAGATACCTGAGCTCTCTGTGCTCCCTTTGAATGCTGCTCAGACTTACCGAACTGGAGCTGTATCATCTTTGAGCTTATACCATTCTTCTGGTAATGCCTCATAGAGGCACCACATGGCCCAGTCAAATCCATCTGCAGCCACAGAATATTCAAAAATGTCCAAATCATCAAAGCGGATATTGTCAAACACCGGGGATATTATAACAGTACGGTCTTCCTTTATTCGAGACAGAATAGGTTCAGCCCTAGGATAATAACCATATAAATTAGAATTGACTTGCATCAAGAATAAATTAAAGTGCAGAGCACCATGATGCTGAAATTCACAGCCTACCTCCAGAAGTGAGACCAAGCAGGTTACGTGGTATGGTTGTATCAGTTCCTACCTATGCTCAGTTAGCAACATCAGTCTTCAGTCAAGGCATCTTACACAACTCACACACCAATACCTCTGCTAATTATAAAAAGCACAGACCCCTTTACTCATGCCTTGCCTATCTACTATATCAATGTTTTGCCTCCTGCAATGGATTTAGATTGGAAACCATTTGGGACAGAAGACAGCTTTTCCTTATAGGTGTGTAGAGGTCCTGATCCCTGTCCTCGTGGACTTACATCTTAAAAACAAATAGGAAGAGTTGCTAGGTGATCTATGAGAGGTCAGGACTGTATAGAACCATCCTTGTATGGGGTACAGCATTGGCTCAGTAATGAAACACAGTAAGTGAGGCAAAGTGAAGAATGGTCAGCTTGAGGGGGGGAGGGGGAGAATATAGAGAGATGTCACACACACACAGAGGGTAAAATTCCATATCTAATGTACACTGTAAATATCTGAGGGCAAGAACCTCATCTTGGCTGTCTTTGTAAAGAACCTTATGTAAACTATGCTACTATACAATCATTAATTGGCAATAATAATTAGCAGTTACTCTACAAATTCATCAGGCACCTGTTAGGTGAATTAAAATCCTATGTAAAACTCCATTGGCTATCATGATTATTTTCAAGGACCTAAAAAGAGTGGAACAAGGTTGTGGCATCCACAGAAAATAATCTGCATAGGTTCATAAAATCACAGAAATTAAGGGCTGGAAGGGACCTAGAAAGATCGAGTCCAACCCCTTTTCTCTGGGCAGGAATACAGCTGAGATCAAATGATCCCAGCAAGGTGTCTGTCCAGTCTCCTCTTGAAGATTTCCAAGGTTGGGGACTGCACCACCTCCTTGGGAAGTCTAGTCCAGATTCTGGTCACCCTTACTGTAAAGAAGTTCTTCCTTACAACCAACCTGAAACAACCCTCTAATAGTTTATGGCCATTGCTCCTTGTCCTCCCCTGGGGCGCCCTAGTGAACAATTTTTCTCCCAGCTCCCGATATTCATCCCTTACATACTTATAGACGGTCACCAATTCCCCCTCAGTCTTCTCTTCCCCAGGCTGAACAGTCCCAGATCCCTTAGTCTTTCCTCATAGTTCTTACAGAGCATCTTCTCATGTGTGTACAAACTAAAGAGAAGTCTTCACCCATACAGACACATATATACAAAGAAGCTGAGAATCACTAACTTGCTCTTTTCTAAACAACCCCACTAGTTATCTAGCTGCTTCCCCACTTTTCTTTTTTAATCAGTGTGTCCCTTCCACAGTCTCAGGGGTTGCCATTACTCAGCACAGGAAATTCCGCTGTATGGTGAAACTAAAGAAAAGCCATGCTCAGATGACTCCCTCAGCTCCGCAGCAAAATAATTCACTCCTGGAAAAGAAATCTGTCTGAATCTTACCATGCAACATTTACTTCAATATGGGCATCCAGGATGGCAACAACATCTGCAGTGGATGCTTTCCAGCCAGAAATCCGGGCTTGTGTGAGGCCTTCTCTTTTCTGATGCCTCACAATTTTCAACAGCCCGGGATATTTTGCATTGTAATTTCTTATCTTTTCATCCAAGGGTCCTAGTAAGTCCTCTAAAAAAAGGGGGTACATTTTAGTTTCTTTGAAAATTAATGGAGGTTATTTTTATCTGGGAATAGAAAAAAAACTACATAACTAAAATCTTTCCAACTCGTCCCAGCCTTGAGTTTAATGGAGATTTCTTCCTTACAATGTGGCTAGAATTATTTAACTACCCAAAAGAACTCCTGTGCAGAAAGCCTTCACCTACAGTAACACCCTATCCTGGACTTCAAGTGCTTGGTTTTTAAATTCAGGGGCAAAACTGTATGCTCTAGTTTAACTGTGCACATATCAGCAAATAGTCATCTACCTTCATAGATGTATCACCAGATGGATGAGAAATTAGATGGCTAACTGCTGTTATTTGTGCCCATAATTCAGTGAACCTGTAAAGACAGGCTGAGACAGAAAAATAAGCCTGCAACAAGGTCCAGGCCCTTAGGGCAACTCTGGTGCCACGTAATGGCCTCACTGATCTGGACTCCCACTCTAGTATCTCAGGGTACCATCCTGCTACTTTGCTTTTCCTGTCTTTGATGTAATGGATGTTTGGGAGGTGGCCCTTAATTCACCAGAGTGGCTTCCTCAAATGCAGTTGGCTAGGCTTGCTTGCCCCTTGCTCACAGTCCTCAGGCTCTCAGGCCCTTCCCCACACATGGTTCTCAGTCCTTAGCTGTCTGGTAGACAAATCTACAGTACCTTCCCCAAGTTCCCTCAGTGGCCTCCTTCTACCCCTTCAGTCACTCCCATGCCTCACAGCCTTAAAACTAACACAAACTAACTAACAGCAAAACCCTAGCTCCACGTGGGACTTTCTACAAAGATCCTTCCTCTCCAGGGATCAGGGCCTGAGTTGCTCTGAAGCCTTGGAGCTCTGTGGATATACTCAGCCTGATCCCACCCTTGGGTCAGCAAGGATGACCTTAATTGGGTGCAGGGATTGCTAATTACCTCATCAGCCCTCTAACATTTTGCCATCTCAGTCCTAAAATATAGTCCTTTAACTCTGTTGTAATAGGGGCTGGGGACTCTGGTACAAAGCCCTCAAATATGTACCTGTGTATATTATGCATGGGTTCCCTTTGCACATGGTACAACTTTTTTTCTTTTCCAGAGGCAGAAACTAGAATGAGTCAGCCAGAAAATTACAGAAACGAGGGATAAAAATTCCTTGTGACAGGGTGTACCAAAGGGGCCTTCTCAAAACCCAGTAGGAGGTGTTAAATCTCTCACACTCCACCCAAATTAGAAAATGGAGCCAGTGAAAGAGGCTGGACCTCTGAGCATTGCCCAAAGAAGCCATTCAGATACAAGTACTGCTAAAATCTACCCATTTTGGTCCACCAGCAGCTAGAATCAACTGGGAGTCTGATACCAATCAAGGCGTGCCAGACAAAATAAAAAGTTTTGCCTGTTGCTTCTCAGGGAGTAGGGCTGAGTAAAGTTAGATAGCTGAGGCGCTCCTGAGTCCTAAAACAAAGGTCTCCAGCCTGGGGGAGGCCTAACAATCTAAGTATCGCATCAGTTCAAGCCCATGACCAACTGTTTAGTTTGTTGTGCAGTTAATAAAAACTCAAGCAGCCAATTCCAAGTTGGATTTCCATGAACAGTCACAAAGCTAGCCAAAGAAGCTTTGCATGAAAGATGTCACTGCTGGTGAACTTTGACAGACCAATAAATCACCTGGAAGCCAGACCTGTTCCCCAGAGTAGATTTTGCAGTCCTTTGTTCAGTTCATTTTTAAGAGCAATGAGGTTTCCGTTACTATCTTTGGGAGCATATTTCATGGCCTCAGACATATCTGTCAGGGAGCTATTCTTGACAGGCAACTTACATTTTTCCTTTATTAGTTTAATCTCATCTCCTCACAGCTCTGTACAGCCACGTCCCACTAAATAACTAAGCTTCTTCAGTCCTTAAACCCTTCAGATACTTGCATCATGTTCCCCTTTTACCAGGCTCTTCAGGGTTTTTTTCCTTCAATCCCTCCAAACTAATTCTTCATTTTCATTGCTCTTCACCAAGCACCCTCTGGGGTCCTAGTATCTTGGATAATTTGATAGTGGCCCCCAGAAATTAATGCATATGTTTTTTCTGACTCGCTTACCATTTGAGCTATGATCATCTACCAGTATAATTTCTTTCAGCAAGTGAGAAGGTGTTCGGTTAATTATACTGGTGACAGCACGCAAGATGACTGACACTGCCTCGTTCATAAATATCAGGATGACACTAAGTGTTGGGAGGTCTTTGGGGTAGGATTTTTTTTTACAGCTATAAGAGAGGAAGAAAAATATTAGCAGGTTTTCCATGAGATACAATAACTGAGCATCTACATCAAGGCAGAATCCCTCACCAGCACCTCCGCCCACAGAAGCAGCATTTTCCCATTCCCTGCCCCAGTCTGAGTACTGTCAACTGCCAGTAGCTTTAGCAGGACAGTAGGGTGGCACAGACACATTGTGTTGGTGCCCTTTAAATCAGTGCCTGGAGAGCATGCTCTACTTGGCCATCACAGTTGCGCTGCCCCTATCTATTTGGATATGAATACTATGCTCCTTAGGGGCTGGCATTTCCAGTATATCTGACTTCTATAATCCAACCCAGCAGACTGTAATCCTTTCCATCATAAAAAAGAGAAAGCATTGTCTGATCCTAGAAAGCAATATTTCCTTGCAGCTGGCACACCTTATAAAAGTAACAGAATGCCTCTCTCTTTCCCATGTGTTTACACATGCTTTGTTCCATTACTTCTCAGAAGGCAAGAATTTCACCTGTTTGTTTTACTCGCTAAAACAACGAGTTTGGCTCCATCTCATCTTCAGAAGGCCAATCTATGTAAGCTGGCTCTGGTAGTAAAATAACTATTATATGGCCCGAAAAGGGTTGGGCAGGTAGACTGGAGGATTTCTTAACCAGATAAGTATGACATTATCTTTTATTCTTAGGTTGACATGACCAGTTGGCAGAGAGATAAATAGCTTTTTTTTCTTTTTCTTTTTTTTTCAGCTGCTTGGTATTGTTTTGGTCCTGATTGAGCTAAGGACTGAGTCAACATTTGATTAGATCAAAGTGCTTCTGAAAGTTCAGGAGTGTTGGCTTAGAGTAATCTCTAAATCTGTCTTTTTTTTTTTTAGGGAACCCTGGAGAGAAGCTCAGCAAGGAGTAAGAAATGCTTTGATGCTATGGTGCTTGATAGATAGAAAAATCTGATTTCTCTCTCTTGTGCACTCCTGCAAATCAGGAGTAACTTGGTTGAAGTCAATGGACATAAAACTTCAAGCTAGTGAAGAGAAACATTACAGAAAAAAACCCCTGTAAAAAATGTTACTTCAGTTTTCATCAACATTTCTCAAAATGTAATATTTTTGACTGGTATAAAAGATTTACACATGGGTAGAGTAATAAGTGCAAAGCCTCAACAGCCCACTAGAAAAAGGGAGAACTATTGTACAAGAATATTGTAAGAAATTGTCAGTAAACCACAAAAGAACACGAATGAAAGAACAATCACAATCAATCCAGCACTAATCCTGATCTGCTCAAGGATCCTTTGTATACAATCCCCTGTTCCAAGTCAAGCCAGTTAGTTGTCCAGAATTAAAGAGAAGCAACATCTCTGTATGTAATTATATGCATATATATTTTGCACACAAAGGTGTTCCAAAAATTGCAACAGCAATTTCAAGTGAAACCAGTTTGTGTGCAATGATCATTTACTGGACTGCATCACTTTATACAGTCATAAACAATGGGTACATTCAACAATGCCACTGTTGGCCTTCCCTGCTGCTGTGTAGTTTGCCACTCATTTTAGACAAAACAGACTTCTTTCAAAATTACTGTTACTTGTTAAATTATGCATATACATATACACATATACGTAGGGTTTATACTGCACCTGGCATATCTGGTGTCTCGAATTGGTCGATCCAGGGGAAGTTGGTCACTGAGATACACATTATACCCGTATTTAGTAAATAACTCCTGGGCTTTGGTCTGTTGGTCTTCTGTTAGATCTGTGCCCCAGAGCTTAAAGAGGTATGAATCTGGAAATAGTATCCGAGGTAAAACTTTCTTTTCCGTTTCTAGCTTGTTTTCTTTCTGGTGCATTTCCTTCTTTGACATTTGTAGCAACTTTTGATCATCATTAGAGGGCTTGTTCATTGAAATTGCTGCTTAAAAAAAGAAAATTATGTGCATAGTGTAATGGAAAGAAAGGATAATATTTGTGATAAATGCCATAGACAAGTTTCTCCTCACAGGGAGGAAGCAGATATTCCAATGAAATCAGTTGAACTACCCCTACCATGAAACTGGCATGAGGTGAAATCAGGCTTTATCTTCCTCGCAGAAAGAATTAAAAAAAAACATGATTCCAAAAAGTCATTTCTAATAGCCTAAATATTTCAGGTCAAATTCTGCTTTCAGTTACTCTAGTGTAAATTCAGAGGAAAAAAAAAAGTGAAAAAAAGCAAGAGTAAACCCATTGTGAAAATAAGGTTTAGAATCAGGTCCTATAGACTCCAAAAGAGCTGGTTTACACTGAAGTGAGTAAGATCAAAATATGTCCCCATCTGAACCATGTTGTTTATGCCTTATGGACCACAAAGGTAATTCTGAGCACATGGACCAACAGTCAATGCAGCCTATCCCAATTACCCATCTGCCTAATACTCCCTTCTCTAGACAAGTATTTTATAGACCTGAGACTGCACCAGACAGACATGGGATTTATAAGCATTGCCTTAATTTGGAGAGTTTCTCCTTCCTCAATTGTTGCTGTCCATCTTTCTTGTGATTGCCAGTAATCAGACCACATGGGCTGACTGACCTGTTAGGCATCAGAGATAAAACTAGTTATTGTGTGACATAATCAATTGGTAAAATGCAATTTGTTTGCTTTCTTCACAAACAACAGCCAGAAAAAATTATATATGTATAAGAAAGACAGAAAGAGTTTTTGACTTTTTATAAATGTTTATTAGGGGGTGAAATGGGTGACAAGACAAGACAAAAAAAAGATAGCCTACACAGGACCCCAGGTGCAGATGACAGAGCCTGGAGCTAACCCTCAAGGTCTGCCCTCACAATCAAAAACAAAAACATCCAGTACCACAGCAATCCTTTAGAGCCCTCGCTGGTACCCCACAAGGAGTGTGAGAGGGGCATGGTCCCAGCATGAGGACCAAACGGCCACCCTCAATGCTGCAGAGCAACCCTGAAATGGCGCAATGCACCTGGGAGGTGGGTATTGTTCACTGGAGAACCACAAGTTCGAATCAGTGACAGGTATGCCTGGACCAAACACTGGAACAATCACAGGGCAGCATCAGAACCAGCCCCAGTGAGCTGACTCCTACAGCTTTGGTGGGTAGCCATCTTTGCAGATGACACCCCTTTTAGATGCCCGGCATGGAAAAGAAACCAAATAGGCAATGTCTGAGACATCCAAGTCTAGTGCCACAAACAAGGCGCCAAGGGCCAGTGCCACTAGGCGCCACTGCCACATCATCCAGGATGAGTAGCAAGGATGAGGGTGCAGTGGACATGAACTGCCCATGTCTACAAGGCCCCCCAGAAGAGAACTTCAAAGCAAACCCTGATATCGCTGGCAGGAGGCATAGGAAGAGTCAAGGAAGTACTGGGGCCACCACCCAGGTCGCTATCCACTGACTGTGTCCCAAGCGTCTAGATGGAATAAATGCAGCCACCCTGCAGAGTGGGCAGGCAATGCACAAACGGCTACAGTGTGCCATGGTAATCCCACCAGTGGTCACCAGCAGCCAGGTGTACTGCCTTGCATCAGCATGAAAATGGCACCAGGCAGCAACAAAGTCCACTGCCTCCAAAGCAGTCCACAGTTGCTGGGCTGAGGATGGATGGGGTTCTGGCTTATTTCGGTCAAACTACTCATCGATTGTGTGAATTAAATTCCCCACCCAGAAGGAGAAGGTTGTCGACACCAGATGCACTTTGTAAAAAAACAGTCAGGGTCTCAAAGGGGCCCAACAGTGGGAGCTTAGATGGTAATGAGCAGGCAGCAATGTACCGTGAACAAAATACAAACAGTCAGCAGGTGGTCAGGGATGATCTCTTAGGCAACTGCCGAGTCAGGTGTCAGCTGTGGCGATAAGAGGATTGTGACCCCTGTGCTGAGGGAGGTGCCATGACCCAGGAACCACCAGACAACATGCCAGTTGGCTTGATTAGCTGCATCAGTGCACGTGTTATGCAGAAAAGTGACATCTATCTGGCTCTGGTGCAAGAAATTGGACAGAGCCTTCTACAGCACAGGAGTTCAGCAGCCGTTGGCATTGAGAGAGCCAATGACCATATCAGGCGTGCATGAGGTGTGCAGAAAAGGGGACTGTAGCAGAAAGCCCCCTTTTCCTCTTGCCTGCAGTTGCTCTCCCCTCCTTGGATACGTTTTTCCTCTTCTACCTTTTCTTCCTTCCTCTTTCTTTCACTTCAAGATAAGGAATTGTGTTTTAAAATTTGTATGTGTGCATTTTGTATCTCCCCTTGTATTTTGGTATTTTTATCTATTTGTGTGCCATGGCATTACTTTTGTAGCTTATATTTTATACTCCTCACCTTTCAACTG